GATCCTTCTGCCTCAGCCTTCCAAGTAGCCGGAACTACAGGCACGCGCTACCACACCCGGATAATTTTTTGATTTATTGTAGAGATGAGATCTCGCCAAGTTGTCCAGGTGGGTCTCGAACCCGCGGGCTCAGGCAATCCACTCACCTCAGTCTCCCAAGGCGCGGGATTACAGGCTGAGCCACTGAGCCCGGCTTCTACTTTTTATTTTCATAATTTATTTTTGCCCTGAGAAATCTTACTCACATAAGTAAGCAGATGGGACTAGAATACGTTTTTCTTATGACGTCACTCAATTCTTTGAGCACCTCCTGTGTCATTTGCTAAAAAAAAAAAATCACAGTGATCTAGTATTAAAAATTATTTTTTTCCGGGCTTGGTGGCTCAGCCTGTAATCCCTGAGTGTAATTCCTTGGTGTAATTCCTTGGTGGCTGAGGTGAGTGGATTGCCTGAGCCTGCAGGTTCGAGACCAGCCCAGGCAACTTGGTGAGAGCTAGTCTTTACAATAAATCAAAAACCATTAGCCAAGTGCAGTAGTACGTGGCTGTAGTTCTGGCTACTTGGAAGGCTGAGACTGAAGGATTGCCAGAGTCCAGCAGGTCGACGCTGAGGTTGCTATGAGCATGCCACTGCACTCCTGCCTGGGCAACGGAGTGAGACTCCAGCTCAAAAATAAAATTATTCTTAACGAGTACATTTTTGATAATGGCTAGCATCAACTATACTGAAAACAAAGAATTAGAAACTATATGACTTACAAAAGGACCTGATTGCCTAGCTCATCAAAAATCCATTTCATATATAGCAATACCAATATTTCAAAATATCTCTTTCTCAGGCAGCATGGAAATTTTTCTATTTGTGGTAAAGTACCACAATAAGAATCAAGAGGAATACGCCTTTCTTTGTAAAGCGGTAATCAGTGAGTGTGGAAGGAGAAGTGGAAAGGGAAAAATGGGTGGCATTTCCACCACAAGGCTCAATTTTAGAAAAGACCGGTGTGGAAACTGACAATTGAGAAATCAACTTCCTTGAAAACATTCGCACTGGCTTGCTCCAGGAAAAGCCTTTCTGTTTTCCTGGAGGCAGACTTATCTGCTAACTGAATTCCTGGGACTCTACCCATCTCTCCCGATTTGTCTGCAGTGGCAATGCCTAGCTCAGGCATGAACTACTGTAACAACCCAATGGTCTACCTTCTTGCCTTCGACTCAACCTGTTGAGAAAACAGCTATCAGAGTTTTTTTAGTTATTTTTTTTTTTTTTTTGAGATGGGGAGGGGTCTCGCTATATTGCCCAGGCTAGTCTTGAACTCTTGCCAGTCAAGCAATCCTACTACCTCAGCCTCCCAAGTGGCTGGGACTACAGGCCAAGTATCACGCTTACATTGCTGTCTCTTTGAAGGCAGTGTGCCAGTTTCTTCCTCTGTGTCTGGTTTAAAGCTTTTCTGTTTGTTTGTTTTCCATTTGATGCTGTTTTACCATGATACGTCTAAGAATGGGTTATCCTGTGTGGGATTCACAGATCCTTTAAATTCTGTGGGTTAGTATTTCATCAATTTTGGAAAATGTTGGTCAATACCAGTTCGAATACTTATGTCTTCTTTTCTGCTCTTCATGATCCTAATGACATTTCTTGTATACATTTTCTTCCGTCAAGTAACAACTGCCACCTATTTGTCCATTAATATGTATTATCGTTTCATTACTATTTATTATCTAAGATTATTAACCACTATGGAGATATAATTCGCAAACCATAAAATTCACTCTTTTAAAGTGTGTAACTCAATGATTTTAAGTATATTCCCAGGGTTGTGTAGTCATCACTGCAAAAAAATTTTAGCTCATTTTATCACCCTAAAAAGAAGCCCACACCAGTTAGGAGTCAAATCCCATCTTCAGGTATCTCCCCATCCAGAGACTGGCAATAGCGAGTCTACTTTTGGCCCATGATGTGCCAACTCAGGATGTCCCAAGTGAATGCTATCATACAACATGTGGTCGTTAATAACTCACTGCTTTTACTTAGCATCATGTTTGCAAGATTCATTCATTGTCATAGCATATATCTGTAGTTCATTTCCTTTTACAACATATCTTTATTTTTTTGAGTCAGGTCTCACTCTGTCACCCAGGCTGGAGTGCAGTGGCACAATCACAGCTCACCGCAGCCTTGACCTCTTGGGCTCAGGTGATCCTTCCACCTCAGCCGTCTGAGTAGCTGGGACGACAGACATGTGTCACTGTGTCTGGCTAATTTTTAAAATTTTTTCATAGAGATGAGGTCTCGTTACATTGCTTAGGCTGGTCTCAAACTCCTGGGCTCACACAATGCTCCTGCTTAAGGTGTGAGCTACTGTACCCAGCCTCATTTGTCTTTTACTGAGATTAAATAGACCATTCCAACCATTTTTAAGTATAAAACTCAGTAGCATTAAGTACATTCACAATGTTGTTCACGTGTCAATA